TTTGAAATGGATGATAGACTTGTAACCTAAGGAGAAAGTGGTTGTGACCTTGTGTTAAGCAAAGACTTTGGAAAGGACACCAAAGTACGAACCATAAAAATGAGAATTGATAAATTGGAATTCATCAAATTTAGTTACTTCCATTCCTCAAAAGACTCTGTTAAGAAAATGAGGAGAAGTCACAGACTGGGTATTTACAAAACACATCTAATAAAACACTTGTATACAAATATATAAAGAACTGTTACAACTCATTATATAAGACAGATAACCTAAAGAATAAGTAGACAAAAGATTCGACTCTGCATTTTACCAAAAAAAAAGATAAACAAATTGCTATAAGACATGAAAAGACATTAGGGAAATGAAAGTTGAAATGACAGTGAAATACCACTACGCACCTTTTAGAATGGTTAAAATTACAAAAAGCGATAGTACCATATATTTGCAAGGATGTTGAGCAACTGGAACTCGTATATATTTTACGGGGAATATAAATTGATATAATCACCTTAGAAAATTGTTTGGCAACGTTACAAATCATACACTTCCCATATAACTCAGGAATTCTACTCCTAAGTATTTATCCGAGGGAAATGGAAACATGTTTGTACAGACATGTATTTAAATGTTCATGGCTTTATTCATAATAGCTCACAGCTGGAAAGAACTGAATTAGCCGTTAATAGGTGAATACGTAAAAGATTGTGGTACAATCATGCAGTGGTTTACTACTCAGCCATAAAAGGGTGCAAACTACTGTTACATGCAACCGCATGGTTAAACTTTAAAAGCATTATACTAAGGGAAAGAAAAGAGACAAAAGTCTACACACTCTGTGATTCTGTTTAAGTTATATTCTAGAAAAATCAAAACACTAATGATAGTTAAACAGTGGTTGACGGGCTGGAGGATAGAGAGGGATGGTTTATTGCAGTGGTGCATAAGGGAGCTTTTTAGAAGTGAAAGAAGTGTTCTGTATTTTGATTGTGGTGGTTACACAACAGTATACATTTATTAAAAATCATCAATTTTCTTGCTTAAAATGAATAAATTTTATTGTACATAAATTATACCTCAGTTGTAGGAAAGAAAAACCTATGCTAGAGTTCCATTCAGCCAAATCTGAGTCAATAAACAAGGCTTGCTAGCTGAGCTAAGTGAGACAGCACCGTGGTGTCAATGTTTGTCACCGTGCCTGGGTCCACATTCTAGAATGGAGAATTGGTCTGATCTGTGTTTCAGGGGTCTGTTTTTATCAGGATAATTTATGCTGTAGATTCTGTAATGTGGTGCCACCAGATGTATATCATGTTTTAAGAAGGCAAGATGCTTTCACTCAAATCACATTCAAAGAAGCAAGAGATGGTGTACAAAGTGGCTTTTTCACAATTTTAATTCTGGATGAGGTATTTATGGGCCTTTTGTGAAAAAAGCTTTCTATGGCCAAGTAAATTTCAGCATTACTATGGGTTTTATAGATGTTGTTAGTTGCTGTCAAGTTGACTCCAACTGATGGTGACCTAATGTATAACAGAACAAAATGTTGCCCAGTCCAGCGCCGTCTTCCTGATTGTTAG